TTACAATCTATATTTATTCAGAATCAATCTAAATCTACAATAATTCCATTCCAATGTAAAACATATATAGATTACTTCAGACAACGCACCTAATAATGATACAATGATTGATCATCTCGAATTATGGGCAATTAACAAAAATATTAATTTTTCTTTTAGTAATCACTTCCGTTGCTTTGCACATGTCATAAATCTTTTTATTCAAATTGCTTTAAAGAAGCTAAAAGATGAAACTGAAAAAATTTGAAATCTTATTACTAAATCCCACTCATCTCCACAATGACGCAACAAATTTTCAGAAATTGCAAATTTAAATAATATTAATTTGTTACCTATTCTTGATATTCCAACTCATTGGAATAGTATATATATGATGATTCAATGAGCTTTAAGTTTAAAAGTGGTTCATTTTTATTTGCTATTTTATTTATATAAAATAATATTCACCTGGGTAAGGAATAAAATATTTACAAATAAATTTTTTTATTATTTTTTATAATAGGTTTTTGACAAGATTTATTAATCGAAGAATTTTCAGATCTAAGTGATTTTAAACTTAGTCAATTCGAATAGACATCTCTTGAAAATATTGCATTATTTTTAAAACGATTCGCCAAACTTTCTACTGAAATGTGTTCTTCTATATATCCGACAATTAGTATAGCATATCTTATATATAATTATCTTATGGATCATTGTGAAAAAAGAATAAATGATCAAGCCTGTGATAAAATATCAGACGCAGCAAAAGCAGCATGGGAAAAGCTTCAAGAATATTATAATAAAACTTCAGAATCTTATTATTATATTTCCACGATTCTTGATCCCCGTTGGAAGATTAAATATTTTCAAACTTGGGCTAATGATAATTATGATCAAGTTTATTATAAAGATGCGAAAAATTTGTAAATTGAAATTTATTTATTTATTTATTTATAATTTTTTTTTTAATTAATTATTTACTTATTTATTTTATTTAGTTTTACTAAACAATTTGATGAGTATCATTCTTTATATTTTCCAATTTCATCATCTGTAAGTAATAATTTACAAAATGAAGACAATGACGAGGATTTATTATTTCCTGTTTCAAAGCATTTTCGTAATCATGATGGTCATGATAAACTTAATGCATATTTGGATAGTTCTTCAGAACCTAGTGAAATTAATATATTAGATTGGTAGAGAACTTATGAAAAACAATATCCTACATTGGCAATAATGGCCCATGATTATCTATCGATACCTGCCACTAGCACTCCTGTAGAGTGGTTATTTAGTGAAAGTGGAAATGTAGTTACTCCTGAAAGAAATAGGCTTAAAAGTTGCACAATACAGGCGATTATGTGCCTTAAAAGTTGGTTATAATTTTGTATTATACCTAGATTTCTATTTTATGTATAAATATATATATTTTTATATAGTTATACGTATATATAACACATGTGATAATCAACGTATATTTTATTGTTATAATAAGCAGTAGAATTATTATGAAAGAAACATTATAAGGTAAAATTTTAAAAGAAAAAATTTTTGTTAGGATACAAAAGTTGATTTGTTATGTAAATTTTTGGAATATGAACAGTTTTTAAAAACAGATTTTTGTTTGAATCATTGGTCGATTATTACATGTACATATCATATTTTTATGTATATACGTATCATACTTATTATTTTATCAAGTAAAATCTGAATAAGCAATAAAATTGTGGTCACATACGTATATATAATAATATGACATAATTCGTCATTTTTATCTTTGTTTTTCATGAAGTACATAGTGGATACGTAGTTGGAGTTAAAGTAATCTATATATGTTTTACATTGGAATGGAATTATTGTAGATTTAGATTGATTCTGAATAAATATAGATTGTAATACGTAGAATTCTAAAATGTGCCTAAGAATTCCACAACAAAATTATATATATTCCAAATTATTTCATTGATTAGTTAAATTTAATAGCATGATATGAAACTTTTGCATATGGACATCAAGTATTTAAAGCAACTATACTACTAGAATTGGTTTGTAGTCAATATATAATTAAAGAATAACCACGTGTACTTCACATGATTATTACAGCTGGAAAATATAGTTCTGAGAATTGGCATCGGAATTACATTAGCGACTCAGGATTTTGCATTTCTTTTAACTCGCTATAGGCTAAAGAAACTCAAATCTGTAATTGAGAAAATATATTAGAGTTGCTCAACACTAAAATGTACCTCTTAGACAACTCAAATTATATTACCAACTTAATTTTATTAACCAATCTTTTGATAATCCTTTTAAACTTTATGCTACCACAACAATATAATCCTGCAAAATATAGCATAACAATTAATAAGTTACAGAATAAAAACAACGATATAGGTGATACTTATCCCATAGACAATGATCTTCTAAATCTTCTGATGAAGGCATAATTATCAATGAATAAATGAAACACTACTATAGTCAGTAAACTAATAGAAGAGCAAGACTTAGGGTGTTCTCAAGTGCCTTAGTCAATCAATCAGAATAGGGTTGGGGGCAAATTTTAATTAATAAAAAATTGGGTTTCCGAATCAATTGTATTTATTATTTTAATGAATAATGCAAGGCTACGATAGTTTAATATATCATAGAAAAAAATTAATTAGCAGAAGATCGTTTAGCCAATCAAAAGTATTTATCATTTCAATTAAAAGGAATAGAGGCCCAAACATCCTTTTTTTTTCACAGAGCTACGCTAATTGGCCAAAATTTTTCATTGATTGATTCTAAAAAATAACTGTTTAAACACTTTACTCTATGGATCTTCAAAATCGTAACTAGCGCAGACAAATCATACTCATTCTAGAAACCTTTGCTTTGAATAAAAAAAAGCAGGAAGCTGAAATTTCAAGAATGGCTAATATGTATTATCTTCTGGCCTTTATTTCTACAATATTAAATACAACAATTTCATTTGTTCTTCCTTCACAAGAAGCATTACTATTTAAATAAGCATTGCTAGAAATACTAGAAACATTAGATAAATTAGAAGTAGATACTGATTCTAATATATTTTCTTTGCTATAATCGTTATCAGATAATTTTAAAAGTAAAACCTAAAATATTATATTAATAATAATATAAGCTATATATAAAATTCAAGATTATTTATATTTATTACTTTTTAATCTTCAATATTTGAGTTATTTGCTGCTAAAGAATTCAGAAAAAGTTGAGTCAGATAGTTTTTTTGTAAAACATATGGAGGTTGGTGAAGTCAGAAAAAGGTGAAAAAGAAACTGGAATCACTGGTACAGGTTTTTGATCTTTCTGTTAGTTCATCATTTTTTTTTTTTTTTTTTATTATTACAGTTTTGTAAAAACGATTTTTACAATTGGCGATTAGAAGATAGCAACAATAAAAGTATTTGCTCAACCATCAATCACAATCAATATTTCAATTATTGCAACGCTTAAATGTAAACACAATTACAAATCAATCACATTGAAGGCAGTACGTGAAAACACATCAATTATATCATTATTCGCTCTACTGATTTTTAATGAAGATATATAATTAAATTTTACATAACGGTTGAACACCATTATGATCATTATCTAATTAATTGAGTGTGCTACTTGAGAACACCCTTAAACCAAGAAATCAATGAGGTAAAAGATAGCTATAACCTACCCATAAGTATTGATTATAACCACATCATCGCACAAATTGATAACCTTATGAAAGCGTTATTAAGACTGAATCTAGACGATAAAGAGAAAAGCAGCAATAGCAAAGTCATTGTTGAAAGGAAAGACAATAATGGTGAAACTGACAAGATGGATACTTATCATATCATCAATAGTCCTCTTGAAAATCAATTGATACGAAATTATTTGAAGAATTGAATCATGAACCTACGGATAAAATGCTTATAGTTAATAAAATAGCACTAGAACAAGACAGAGAACTTGTGAAAGAAATCATCGCTATTCAACTTATCATATAATTTTGCGAACATGAATATTCATGAAGTCATGTGATAGAGTTAAATAGCATACTGAATGGTATGTCAAATGGCACTATTCAAATACCATTCACATGACTTCACGAACATTCATGTCCGCAAAATTATATAATAAGTTGAATGGCATGCCGAATGGCATTCGAATAGTGCCATTTGACATGTCAAATTTTTTATTTTGGGCAGTGCCCAAGAAAGTTTTAAGTTGGTCATTGCCATCAAAATCAACAACTGGAATTAGAATTAAAAAGTTTAAATAAAATAAACACGATAATCAATGAAACAGAAAAATAACTATAGAAGGTATAAAGAATTACATTGTAAATGGGTTTTGGGCATCTACGGGAGTTATTTTTTTATTTCTCTATTTTTATCCTATTATTATTTTATTACCATTAGTATAATGAAGTTAGAATAGAATAGTAAGCAAAAATGACCATCTTTACTAAGAATAGAACTTACGTACAAGGTTCATTCAAATTTGAACGAATTAGTATAAGCCCTCTTTAGCTCATTCAATTTTGTACGAAGGTGATCATTCGAATTTGTACGAAGCAGAATAATTAAATTCGTTCAATTTCGAATAAATTCTATTCACACAAATTCGCACAGCGTAGTTTGCCTTAAAATAAAAAATGTGTAGTTAGTATAATTCTTATGTAAAAAGAATATAGTAAAAAGAAGTTTCAATAACGAACACAGCTCTCATGTAATTAGTAGTGGTCTAAAAGTAGACAAGACCAATCTTTTCGCTTCAATAAAAACTAATTCAGTCGAGTTCTTAACTTCGAAAACATTAGTAGAAGTTGGTTCTCCAGTAGTTATTTCCTTGGATCATTAAGTTATATATAATAAATTGTCTTTCATAAAATATTCGTGTCCCTGTGATACCTCTAAAAGTCATTATTCTTGAATAGAAAGAAAGGGAGAACCATTAAATTAGTAATCAGATCCCTTATAAATACGAAAATAAATTAAACTCTGATCAAATTCGTTATTATTGACTTTGAGTCTTATGACATGTAACTTGGAATAGAGAAATTTTGAAAAGCAAGAAGAAAATAGAACTGTTAGTATCAGCTTATATGTCATACGTCAAGTAAACTCTCAAAAGAAATAAAAGAAGACTCAACTTGATCTGGGTATTGTTTCTACTAGGCCCAAGCACCCGAAAACTTAGACCAAATCTTACCACACCTCGATCACAGCCTTTCAATTTTGGAGTTTCAGTTTTGTCATTACCTTTATTAGTTTATAGATTATAGTATTTAGTTATGTTTTTTTTGTTAGTTAGTTATAGATTATTAGTTCCCACTTTTAAAATGTTCATTCCCAAGAATCAACCTGTGTAGAGTTTTCTGATAAAAAGATAGAACACAGAGAAAACCAGGATATAATTAGTAAGATACCAAAAGAACAAGATACTAATACCAAAGAGCAAGTTAAAGAAACAAATACTTATCTAACATCAACAGAGTATTCTCAAAAGTCACTCAACCAGCCTACTATAAAAGACCATGATGGAATATCTTTGATGCTTGATCAAAAGATGTTCGTAGATCTTGATAACTCCTTAAAGGAGAATAAAGATATTAATATAATATTAAAATTAAATAAGAACCAAATAATTAAGAATTGTCTCAATCCAAAGAGTTTGATACTCATATTTCTAAAGACCATAATATTAGTAACTCTCAAGAGTGTCCTTGGCTGTATCTAGCCACTTAGAACCCAAGAATTGATAAATCCTTATACTGGGCTTTAATTTCCTGATGTTTTTGATAGAACGCCAGATCTAGACATAACTAGTAAAGAATCAGAACAAAGATCTCAAATACATAGTAAAGTCCTTGTCTGCAATTCAAGTGATAAGCAAGACATAAGTAAGAAACAAATCAAGTATAAGCCCGAAAGTAAGAGATTTCACGACCATAGTAAAGATCTAAAAGATCTTGAAAGGTTTAAACCTCAGAAAGATCACAAGAGAAGGCTCAATGCATTGAGAAAGTCTAGTAATGACTATAAAAGCTAAAAGATCTCAAAGCCGGCACAACTGAAGCTGAAGCTTCGACAGCTCGTTGAATAGAAAAAACTTTTTATAGATTTTTTTTAGAAGGCATAGCGAAGATTATGACAAATATTAAGAGTACGCTCAAGCACTCGGCACAAGCTATGCATAATGAGCTCTTAAAATAGAGAATTCTAAAACCTTCATTACGTGAATCGTATTAATCAAATAACAAATCAAATCAAATCAAATACAAATTAGCTTTATATTTGATTCGATTTGATTTGATCAAATTCAAATTAATTTAATATTTGATTTGAATAAATCAAATTAATCTAATATTTGATTTGATTTGAGTTTGCGGAACCCTACTAGCCACCATACCTATAGCCTAACTAGGAAGCTATCTATTTAAACTCTTTGGCTTCAACACCTGTACTATGTTTCTTTTAATATATTCTTTTAAGATAATTTGTTATAAAAGACTTTAAGACTTTAGCCACTAGTTAATCTAGTTTTTCAGAGGAGTATTTATCCTTGTGATAAACTTAACAGAGTGGTTTATGTTCTATATATGTATTTATCTGTATGTTTAGTAACTTTCTCTAATTAATATTTGTTGTGCTGCTACTATCAGGTTTGTGTCTCAAGCTATTTTTTTAGATACTGCTATAACCCAATCTGTATCTCAAGCTACAACCTTCTTAATTAGTTTTTATTATGTTCTCTCTGCCCTTGCAAGGTTTACAACAACCCTGGTACCTATATTTCAACTTTTATCTTTCTCAGATTCATTATCAGTCTCTTTCTTACTTCTAGCTTGCAACTTAGAAGGGTTAGTTTGCCCAGATATCAGGTGCCTTATGGTTTCTCTTCTCTTAGTATATGCTTTCAAAACACAAGTTCTTTTTCTCTAGTTAACAAGCTAGCAGTTTGGCTGGTGTGTTTTCCCACTTAAGAACCTGGTTGCTCAGTTCTTTAATCTTGGTTTTCAGTTTCAAATTCACTCTTTCTGTAGTACTATCAAAGGTCACTGCTACTTCCAACTTGGAACTTTCCAAACAGGTTTTAATCTTCATAGTTTTTTGGCCTTTTATATATCGAAGCTCTTATGTGAACATGGTGTTATTAAAATTACAGGTTTTGGGACCCAACTGATTAACCATGACTATCACTATATTACAATTAATTTTTCAAAAATGTCATTCATGGGATTCGAACTTTAGACCTGCTGTCTGAGAGTGCAACAACTTCACCACTTTACTAAGTTGCCACATTCTAAATTTTATTAATTGTCTCTGCTTTTAAATTTAAAATATAAACATATTATTAATTTATTATATTTTCTAAATATATAAATCTTATCTTTGCTAATTATTTTATTTTATTATATATTCAAAAAGTAGGATTAATTTTTATTGAAATATACAGATATTTTTATATTAAATTATAAATAATTATATATATATAATTGCATATTATAGAATATAGTGGCTTAGTAAAGTGGTTTAGTCATCATCTCGCCAAAAGGTAGGTTCAAAGTTTGAATACTATAGATGATGGTTTCAAAAAATAAGCCTGTGTTATGATAACGATTATCTATTGTCAGTTTTACTATTATTGTCTTTCCTTTCAACAATGACTTTGCTATTGCTGCTTTTCTCTTTATCGTCTAGATTCAGTCTTAATAATGCTTCTATAAGGTTATCAATTTGTGCGATGATGTGGTTATAATCAATACTTATAGGTAGGTTATAGCTATCTATTACCTCATTGATTTCTTGGTTTAAGTCTTGCTCTTTCATTAGTTTACTAACTATAGTAGTGTTTCATTTATCTATTGACAATTATGCCATCATCAGAAGATTCGGAAGATCATCATCCACGGGATAAGTATCACCTATATCGTTGTTTTTATTCTGTAACTTATTAATTGTTATGCTATGTTCTGCGGGATTATATTGTTGTGATAGCATAAAGTTTAAAAAGATTATCAAAAGATTGGTTAATAAAATTAAGTTGGCGATATAATTTGAGTCATCTAAGAGGTACATTTTAGTGTTGAGCAACTCTAATATATTTTCTCAATTACAGATTTGAGTTTCTTTAGCCTATAG